TGGCTATTGGTATAGACCCCTTCCCCCACTCTCTACTTCACCCTAACAGAATCACCTCCCCTCTCCATTGGCTCTCTCTCTCACCTCGACACCTCTCTCCATCTCTCACTCTCTCGATGGCTCTCAACATCACCGACGCTCAACGATACCCCCTCCCTCCTCTTCTTCTTTCTCTCTTTGCTTCTTCCCCAACCTCTTTTCATGCTAGCAACTAGCTTTCCCCTCCCACCAATTGCCTCTCCTTTTCCTATTTCCTTCTCCCCCCAATCAGCCCATCTGCCATTGAAATATGTTAATTATTGAATTTGTCACAGCTAGGATTTTAAATTATCATTGTTAAAATTCTTGTCAAAATTACTGGACTTTTGATGTTAATTTTCTTTTGTTTTGTTATTTTTGTTATTATATTTGGTCAATTTAATACTTTAATGCTTTATAAATGTTAAATGAATTACCAATGTTTTAGTGGTGATATTTTGATTATGAAGTGATATAAAATCTATATTTTGTCTAATTTTTATTTTAATTATTGTCTTTCTCCTTAATTATATTTTTAGATTTTTTATATTGGTAAGCACCTTGCTTCACTCAAGCATTTTAGATCCTCAGTGCTTTTTAACACATAGCGCCTTTGACAACACTGGTGTTATAGTGTTTTCAGCAATAGCAGGAAAACTGTAACATAGTAGAAAACACTGCAACACAATACAAAAGCACTATAACACTGTAACATAGTGTTTTATATAAATTTTGTAAAAAAAATGTGTTTACAAGATTGTTACACTGCAATCGTTAGTATTTTCAAGTTTCAACAATACTAGGAAAACACTATAACACAGTATAAAAACATTGTAACACTGTGTTTTTTTGTATTGTGTTATAGTTTTCCTTGGTATTGTTCAAAACACTATTACAGTGTTTTTGTATTGCATTATGGTTTTTGTGGTATTGTTGAAAATATTATAATTGATTTAGTTCACCCTATGGACTGATTCATTATAAAAAGAAAATGAAAAGGGAAGGTGACTGGGGTATTCCAAGTATTAGGCAAAAACGGAACACTGTCTTAAAAATGCAGGGCACTTCCTGTGAAAACCCAAAAGACGGATTGTTTTCGAGAATTCACCCTATTTACTCTCTCACACCAGGTGATAAAATTTACAGCACAGAGAATAGAGTAGTTTCTATGGAGAAGATAAGTAAAAACTAAAACCAAGATTATAAAACTTAACTAATACTTCAAAGAAAAAAAAACTAAGAACATGGAACAATGATGTGGAAGGTATAACAAAAAGAAACATAACAGTTCAACCATTCATATTATTGGGCCCTTAACTATGTAATAAATTTGAGGCCTAACACTTCAATCATATCATCAAGAAAGAATAATATTCCACTCATTTCTACTAAGCTAAAGTAAACAGATCATTGATATATAATCAGTCACAGAAATGGACATGTCACCTACAGGTAGTAAATCAACCACCTTAAGCTCAATGAACCTCTATGTAGACATTATTTCTCATTCATCCTTGCATCTTGACCATGTAATTTTTATTCTTAAACTCATACCCCACTTTTGTAACATCTGTTGAAATAAGTTTTCGCTTGTTGGGATCTTGTAAAGATGCATTTTTATCTTTCTGCCTCTGTTACACTGCCATCTCAACTACTTCATATGAAGGAACACAACATTAGTGCTTCTTAGACACCATTGCTCTTCAACCTTGTTAATTGTCAAACATCATTCACAAATGACAATGGTCAAAAGCCAGATCTGTATTTGTAGAAGGAATGCAGAGGATGGAGAGGAAGAGAAGAGGGTGGTCGTCCAACAACCTAGAATAAAGTGTTCACTTCAAGAAATTGCTTGAGAACTTTAGAATCTTGTGCAACTGCTACCTGAGTTTGTTCATGGTAGATGCTCCAAGTTTCACAAAAAACTAACTTCATTTCCTTGGTAGATTGTCTTAATATAGTATTTGTTATTCATTTGGCAAATTCTTCACACAAAATTGCACGAGATTGCTGCTAGTGCAGGACCTATAGGAAGGGTCTAGTGTATGGCTTTACCCTTTAAGGTATAGAGGTTTTAGGGAAAAAATTAATACAATATTGTATAGAATTAACGTACATAGTTTTTGCAATTGAAAGATAATACATTTATAATATATTGAAGCAAAGATACGGGCACAGTATATTTATGATCAGCACATAATGTCTACTGAAAAAAAAAACGATGATGTCAACTGAGAAAAAAGCATGATGAATCAGAGCATGAATCATAAGATAATGTCTGCTGAGAAAATTTTTCACATCCTATGAATTGACCACATGAGATACCATGCAAGATAAGGTGCTTCCAACAAGCATTTCTTGGTGATATATTAAGTGATCAACAAAGATCAAGGAATACACTTGGTTTGAAGAGAAAATGCATGATCTCTCAAAAAAATAAAGGAATACCACCTTAAGAAGGTTGTTGCTGTTCGCGAGCATCTAAGAGAGAGCAACACAAGGGCATTGTTTGCCAATAAGCCACAGCAGCAAACGAAAATAACAGCTCAAAGCATGAACCTCGGAAAGACTCACCTCGTCGTAAACCCTCCGACGGCCAACCTTTTCCCCTCGACCTCGCTTTCCGCTTTAATCAACCACCAATCGAACAGAAAAACCTGTATTCTTCGTGTTCGAGGCACCAAGAAGACATGAGACGTTGATCCACGATCGAAACCCTAAAGCTATTGCATCAAAGGATCAAGATGGAAGGGGAAAAAGAAACGCACCGATTTCTTGTCAGCGGGGAAGGAGGGGGGAAAGGGCGTCGCTGATGCGAAGCTGGACGAGGGAGCGACGGAGGGCTTCGCCAAGAAGACCGATGAGCGAACATCCTCCTCCGGGCCCATATCGGCGGAGAAGGGTTTTCTTCGATGGCGAGATGAATCATGTGGGTGATCATCAAGTTAATAGAAATAAAGTGAGTACTATTTACAATTCATTTTTCTATTTATATTTTTTTATTTTTATTTTTTTATTATTTCTAAAATATCATAAATAAAGAATCATAATTTTTTTTTACTTAATTCCAACAAAATCTTGTTTCAACACAATTTTTTTTTCCTTCTCATAATTCTTGTTCTACTCCTAATAACCACTCACAAATTAGATAGATTACATATAAAAAAAATATAAATATAGCCTTAACAATTGAGTTTTGTAACTTTTCTTACTAACCTATAAATAGATGAGTTTTGTCATAGGAAAAAAATGAGAAAAAAAAATATACAGACTTTTCTTAAGAAAATAAAAGTTTTAGTTTTGCCTCTTGTTTCATCCTTCAATTCTTCCTCTCTAACTCTCTTTATCTTATCTTTTCTTTTTCCCTTTAAAGTGGTATATGAAATAAGTCAAAATGGTTAATAGCATGCAATTTCAAGTACTTTACTTTACAAAAGACAAGTACTTTACTCTAGATGAAGGTATTGTTTGGATCACAAGATATTTAGAAGGTAATAGAGAGAGACTAGTAGAAAGAGACTATAAGGAGCCTCAAAATAGTGTTATGGTTACGATGAGCTAAAAAGATTCCTTGAAAAACATAAAAAAAAAGATAAGAAGGTGCTCTTCTTCCTCATCTACCAAGGGTTAGACGAAGGTAACTTTGAAAAAGTTACCGTCGCTAACACCTTCAAAAGATACTTAGGAGATTCTTTAAAACTTTTTTGGAGTTGAGAAAGTAAGAAAATTTTGACTTCAATCACTTAGAGCTAAATTTAAAATATTACAAATGAATGAATCTTAGACTCTTTCAAATTATTTTACAAGAGTTCTTACCATTGTCCATCAATTAAAAAGAAATTATGAGAATTTAGAAAATATATATATAGTCAAAAAAAAGTACTTCGATTACTATATGAAAAGTTTAACTTTATTATGATCTCTATCCAAAAATCAAAGGATTTAGACCAAATACATATTGATGAGCTAAAAGATTCTTTGCAAGCACATGAACATGTAGTCAATAAAAAGAAACAAAATGTAATAGAACCAATTCTCTAAATAAAGCTCAAGTTGAAAGAAAGAAATAAAGGGTCCAAGTAATCATGATATGGAATAGGTTGAGAATCATGGTATAGGGACATGCCGAAGAAGGGGAAGGAAGAAATAATAAAAAAAATCAAAGTCCAAAATAAGAACAAAAAAGAAAAGATACAAGAGGCCAAGCGTATAATCATAAAGTTCAATGCCATTGTTGGAAAAAAATGGTCATTATACTTCCGAATGATATTTATTATAACCAAAATAATTAAGTTGAGAAAAGTATTATGTTGAAAAGAATGAGAAAGATTCTTTTTTATTTCTAGTCAATACAAGTTTACATTAGAGCTAGCAATCATATGTGTGGTTACAAAATTATTGATGAAAGGCAAATGTAACATATTGATCCACCTCAAAGATGAAAGTCATTAATTTTTTTAAAATATTTATTATGTGTTAAATATGAATAAGAATATTCTTAGTTTGATATTGATATAAAAGATAAATAATTATTTATTAAAAGCAATACAAATTGTTTAATTACTTAAGTGGATATGTAAAAAAAAAAGATTATTTATCTTAACCATTAATCATAACATAATATTTAATGACTTGTGTGAAGCATTCGTCGTGATCGTGACACTTGAGGTTTAGACACTTGAATTTCAAAAATCTCAAAATGCTATCAACAAAAAAAATAGATAAATAATCTTCTTTATGTGCAACACCCAAGTCAAATATATAAAGGGTGTATTTTAGCTAAACAAACAAAATGAAGTTTTGCTCTAACTTATCGAGCAAATAAGTCGCTTCAACTTATTTATGCAGCGGTTTATAACTCTATTGCTCCAACATCTTTTAGTAAGCATCACTATATTTTAACTTTTATTAATAATTATATAAAATTTTTTAGTTTATTTATTGAAAGAAGAAAAAGAAAGTGTTTAACATGTTCGAGAAGTTAAAAACTTTTGTAGAAAACAAAAGTAACTTCTGTATCAAAACCATCTGCTTCGACTGAGGTGGTAAATTCACCTTGAAAGCATTTGAAGATTTTTGTGATGAGCATAACATTCGATATTAACTCATAGCACCGTATTCTCTATAACAAAATAGTATGACAAAGAGAAAGAACCGAATGATTCTTAACATGGTGAGAAGCATGATCAAGACCAAAAATGTGTCCAAAAAATTTTGGGTCAAAGCAATGGCTTATGCTATCTACATCCTAAATTGATGCTCTATATTGATCTTAGAGAACAAAACTCTACATGAGGCATAGATCGAAAGAAAATCAAAAGTTTCACATGTCAAAGAAATTTGACGCATTGGTTATGAATATATACTTGATAAAAGAAGAACTAAGTTGGAGGACAAGAGCACCAAGCTCATCTTCATTGGGTATGATACTTGTTAGCGAACAAATATGCCATGGTCGGTGAGTCAACACGGCTAGGTTCGCGGGTTGATGTCGAGAGCCTACTACGAGGTGATTTGGATGATGAGGTAGCGGGGCCCTCGGGAAGGAGTGTTGTTGGTGTTAGTCGAGATTGGGGCCGATTAACAACTCCATACTGCTGGGCGGCTGGCGCTCCCGTGCCGAGTCCCTCGCGGTCAATGAGTGGTCGCCCTCTTGCAAAAATGGCCTCCACCGGGTGGTCCCCGATTGTGGCCCCTCCAACGTGCAAGTTAGTAATGAGAGGGATTGCTTTTTTCCTTTTTTGTTGTCTATCTCCCTTGTGGCCGGGGGCCGACCAGAGGTTTTATACTATGGTGCAAGGGTTGATGGTGCATCGATTCGACGTCGCCGTCGACCCCCGAGGGATGGGATGGCCCTTCTGACCAGCCATCATTTCGGAACGTACAAAGCGGCGTCAGACGGCACCGCCCCAAGCTCCCGAGATGGGATGTGTGGCATATCTTCTTGGTACGAGCTCCCAGGATGGGACATGTGGCGTAGGGCTCTAACTTGGCATGTTGTGTCGGTTGTGACGTGTTTAGGTTGCCAAAATATATTGTATCACTTCCCCCTCCCACCACCAAGGCATGCTTGAGTTGGAGGGGTGCTGATTGCTTAGGAGGGGAAAATCGGAATTGACTCATCGTGGGGCGATCGGAGGGGCAACGCCCCGTGCCTCGGGTAGGATTGACTCTGCTGGTCGGGCAGTCAGGACCTATCGTCCTAGTCGGTCGGATAATCGGTTTAGCGTGGGTCAGAGTTACGGATCCTGATTTTGCGAGTCGGTGAGCGAACCGAGGTGATCTGGTTAGAGCTACAAATCGTGGATCAACGTGGAGCAACTCGTGCGTTGGACTAGGAGGGGCGTTGGGTCGGCCGCGAGGTGTGACTCGGGCGTTGGGTCGTTCGAGATGCGGCTCGAGCATCGGATCGGCCGCGAGGTATGACTGGGGCGTTAGGTTGTTCGAGATGCAGCTCGGGCATCGGATCGACTGCGAGGCATTAGATCCAGACCTGTGGGCCGAGCGGTTATGCTCATGCTTGGGTTCTAGTACTGGCAGGTCACCTATCGAGAGTGATCTAGGGCGACTTGGGTAGTAGCTGGAATCGCGAGCCGAGTGATTATGCTCGGTCTCGGGCCTTAGTGCCGGCGAGTCGCTTGTAGAGAGCGATCTGGGGTGACTCGAGCAAGAGCCTAACTTGCGGGCTGAGCAATTATGCTCGTGCTTAGGTTTCGGTGTCGGTGGGTCGCTTGTCGAGAGCGATCTAGGGCGACCCGGGCAGTAGTTGGAATCGCAAGCCAAGTGATTATGCTCAGGCTCGGGCCTTGGTGCCGATGGGTCACCTGTCGAGAGCAATTTAGGGTGACCCCAGCAAGAGCCTAACCTGCGGCCGAGGCGACTATGCTCGTG